AACGTGTATATTATAGTTTAGGGGGGGGGAGGGGGGAAGGAGAGATAAGTTAAAAAAAAAGGTATAACAGAGCTAAGTATTTCTACCTCCTGCTTTGACCAAGTGGGGAAAATACGATGGGTAGTTAATCTTATTTACATATGCAACCCCACACACACACACACACATACCCATTACAACTTTGATAGAGTCCCATCCTCGTATTCGCTCAATTCTCTCCTCTGTCGTCCCCTTGCCCCCTGTCTCCCGAATTCCTTGCCCTCGCCGTTGCATCTAGCTAGCCACTCTGGGCTCTTCCACGCCCAGGCTGCGTCTTTTTCGTCGCCATTGGACTTGCCGAGCAGGACGTTGAGCATGTATGCGCCTGCGACGGGGAGAAATCTATCTATGCGTTAGCATCTCTCTTGGCTGAGGGAGAAAAGGAAGGGGGAAAAAAAGCGTACTTGTACGAATGAAAACTACCGCCGACAGCAATGTACAAGTTGCTCAATTGCGCATGCGGATGGCGGCTGAGTAGCCAATCTTCACTCGGTGTCACGGCATCGTAGCATATGCGCCATCGACTCGGGACGCGGTTTTGCGTCCACTGTGGCATGGAAGCATGGATGAGACGGATACTTTGCTGCTTGAGTTTCTCGGGGACATCGGTTTGGTGTCTGCGCGAGGGAGCGGTGATGCGGTGGCCCGAGGGCGTAGTCACCGTGTTTACGATTTCAGAGGTCAAATCATTGATTTTAAGAGTGCGATTAGGAGTGGAAGGCGGGATGATGTCGATTTCGCCGCCAATGACAATGACAGGTTGGTCTTGCGAGACAAGGGATTGCGTGTCCGAGTCGTCGAGCGTGTAGTATGCTGAGACGCGGCCGACGGCTGTGACTTGGCGCTCGATGCGGTCTTGGTGCGACATTTTAAGCGCGTCTTCGAGAGGAGACATGAGGGTGCTGGTCCAGGCTCCGGCTGCGAGGACTATCTTGTCAGCGGTTAGAATGCGTCCGTCTCGTAGCTTGGCACCGGCAAGACGGGATTTGTCGCGGTTGAGGACGAGTTCCTGGACTTCGCCTGTTATGCGCTTGACGCCGAGTTCCAGCGCGACTTTGGTGAAGCTCTGGGTAGCCCTTTCGGCATCGCACCATCCGGCCTCGGGGTTGAAGTAGCCTTTGCCCAGGCGCTTGGTTTGGACTCCCTTGGTTATGTTGTATTTTTCCAATTCATCTGGATCAACATCACGCGTATAGTCGCCTCCTCTTTCCAGAAATGTCTTTCTGACTGCATCACCAAAACCTCCCTCTTTACCATCCAATACAATCCATCCCGTCTTGTGGAAATGGCCTTGGACGGCAATGTTCCAGAACCAAAAATGGATCGCTTCATTGGCGAGATTGCAATACAAATGCGAGTCGTAGTCTGTGCGAATGATGCGATTTGTATCAATGGCAGCTGCCTGTTTTTCTTCCAGAGGCGAGGTAGTGTCCCAGCGGTCGACAAGAGTTATGCGCGAAGGATCCTTGTACTGTTTGCTGAGATGGTACGCAGTCGATGTACCAAAAGTGCCAGCACCAATGATAAGCACAGTTGGCTCTTGGTTCGCCATGGTGATTGCTAGTAAGATTGAAGGTTTTAGAAAAACTCTAGTGGTACTATGGATGACGATGACATTTTGGTATTATGTATAAGCCTGTTACGCTAGCGCTGCGGGGTCTCTGCGGATCCGAAGTGGCAGCTTGACCAAAACGGTACACTCTCATAACCAAGAAACTGTCTCGACGTTGGTTCTTGATATTTTGGGATAAATCTCTCTGGTAGTAGACTTGGGGGTTAACCCTCAAGCTCGACAAATTCATCCAGCATCGATTGTACCCTTTCGCGGACGGCTGATCAAGGTCTTTCCACTATGTCCCATGGCAGAAATGGACGCATAGTAATGCTGGAGCATGCTAAAGAGCTAGATGAACGAACTCGGCGCGTATTGTGTAAGAATAAATTTGAATCAACGACAAGATGGATGGTGTCTGGAGGGTTGATTACACTACTTGGAATGTTAGTTGGACTCCTCCAATGCTCCTTCCGTAACAGCTCTGCTTGACTGAAAACGGACTAGCGCAGAGGCACTCGGCAAACCTTCCCTGCGACAACGAAAAACGGTCAAAAGTAGTACAATGAGCGCAACAGCCATCGAGGTATAAAGACATTGGCAGGCGTCAAAAGAGGATGCAGAGATTGCACAGGATTTCAGAGATAAGCGGCATTCCAAGCTGAGCGTGTCAAATCGAATCGGCCTTTGAGCGATAGGACCCGGTGACTCAATCGGCGGCGGCCCCACCCAGTTCAAGTCTACGGTGCAGAATCAGCAACTCTGAACTTGACATCACCATGGCTCCCAAGATTCATCTCGTTCGCCACGCGCAAGGAGAGCACAATGCGACTGTATGTTTGACGGGGCGATCATGTCGGACGAGTCTAACAGGCAACAGCGCGACTACAGCATTCGCGATGCAGTACTGACGGCCAAGGGCAAGGAGCAATGCCGGGCCCTCAGCGCGGCGTTTCAACACCACGATGAAATAGAGACGGTGTTTGCATCTCCACTGCGGCGGACGATCCAGACGGCGGCGCTTAGTTTCGGACGAGTGCTGTCGCGACCAGAAGTGCCGTTTGTGCTGCTCCCGGCGCTGCAGGAGGTCAGCAACATTGGATGCGACGTAGGGCTGGCGGATAGTGCGGCTGATTTGCAGCAACTGCTGCCTGATTTGTTTGAGGCCGGGGAGATTGATTTTGACGTTAGCAAGATTGACGCTTCAGCAGTGACGCCGGGCTGGAATTCCAAGGTCGGCACATGGCACTGGCCTGACGTCACAGCATGCGCTAACGGGTCACGTGCAGGAAGGTTACTGGGCGTACGAGAAGACGGCCATCAACAAGCGCGCTGCAGAGCTGAGGAGCTGGCTGTTCCAGCGCCCAGAGGCCCAGGCAAGCAGGACAGGGGCAGAGTTTGCCAGGTGGCTGACTGATAGCAGGTGCTGGTGGTGACGCACGGGGCGTTTGCTCACTTTCTGACCGAGGACTGGGAGGTAGAAGATCCCATGCTGGGCACTGCATACAAAAACTGTAGGTGCATATCCGCCACAGTTACCTTGGGCAACGCTGACGCCCGAACAGGTGAGCACCGCGTGTTTGTCTTCACGCCTGACTCGACGGCCGCCGAGGCCCATGTGGAGGAGACGTGGGAGAGCAGACGCGGTAGAAGCACGGTAGAAGTCGAAAAGGACCCGCACGTCGTCGACGAGTTCCTGACTACGGCCGCGTAGATGGGGGGTCCATGGGCATGGATGGACTCGGACGAGCCAATGGGTCTTGAGATGAGGTTTTTTTTCAAAAAAAAAAAAAGGCGCAGTGTTGAGGGCGTGTGTCGCGTGAGACGGGGGTACTTTGTGGAGGTGGGAAACTTCTGTTGCATGCAATCTGGAGTTACAATGTAGTATAGTAGCGCTACGGCACGCGCCTGTCGATAGCATGCAGGTGCATGGATGCATGGATGCATGAATCCACGGCCCTTAAAAGGAGCGAAAAGGCTGGGGTAAAGATAGCGATTTTTTCCTGCAGGCAATGGACAGGCGGTGCACACACAGACAGACGGACACGGGCAGGGTGATTGGCGGGCGCCTCTCTCGGCAATGCACTCCACAAGACCCTCGTTTCTGCTAGTGCTGGCAGAGAGTGATAGGTGCGAGAGTGCTAAGTAAGTAGGGCAGGGCAGGGCAGGGCGGAGGGCATGGGCAGAGGCTTTGCTGGGCAGCGGCGCGGCAACGACCAGGATCGGAAGAGGCTCTCGCTAGACCGGGTACCTGCTCGGAGGGTGCGGACAAGCCCCGCCGAGGCCCGGGTGGGTGCGGTAGGAGAGCTTGTCGGCGCGCCCAAGGTCAGCCACCACAGCCCTACTGCAAAACACCACTGCGCAGGCACGTCATCCGCTGCCCTCGCCATCGCCCAAGCCAACGCCTCCGCCATCTTGTTCCCGCACAACGCGGGGGAAGGCCACATGCACAGGTCTCCTACTTCCCTCGTCGCATGCCCTCTGGGGCACTGGCCCCGACAAACCCAGTGCAGTGCCGCCGTTTGGTCCCAAGCACGTCCCAGCATTTCCACCCACACACGTAAAAAGATGAAAATTTTACGTCAACTGCGACGCGCCATGTGGAACCTCGTCGTCCCCAACGCCACTAGATGCTCCCCTGCCAATCGCACGTACCATGGACCGGTTCCATACACTGCCTTAACCCGACGACCGCTAACCTTGTCCATCGCTTGCTCTCGGTCAACTTCGGTCGCCCGCCATCTTGGGAGCGCGCGGGGGAGCCACCATTTGGAACATTCTATTACACATTCACGACGGTCGCAGAGATAAGCAACTTCGATATAAAGATGGTCCTGTCTTCCGCCTCACTGTTGTACCAACCTATTCATTGCCCCTGCTGCACACTGCTAGTCGCCTCGTCCCAGACTGCGTAGACTACGTCACCGAGCAGCACCCTTCTTTAACTCGACTCGACTCGAGGCTGCCCGCTACCAGTTTGGTCATCTGCACTGCAACTGCTTCATTGGGGACAGACGGTAGACTAGCTCGTCAGCAGACTCCCGCCGCCAAAAACCAAGGTTGCCCTTCTTTCTCGTCCACAATTCTTGCTCCTCCCCCCCCATTCTTTTGGACACACATCCATCCTTATCCAAGATGCAGGAGGTACAACCCGCCCACGGCACAGGTGATGTCCCCACCAGCATCCCTCCTCGCCACTACGCTGCTCCTCCAACAAACTACCGCCTTGATGACCTCTCCTCCGAGGGCAAGAAGAGCGACCCGGAGCTTATGATGCCCGTCGACAAGACGGCCACTGTCCAGGAAGGATCTGAGAAATTCCACCGCCTTGGTTGGAAGCAGCTCACCGTCTGTCTGATTGTCGAGGCTATTGCCCTCGGCTCTCTCAGTATCCCCAGCGCCTTTGCAACGCTCGGCATGGTCCCCGGTACCATCTTGTGTGTTGGTCTTGGTCTTGTTGCCATCTACACGTCGTACGTCGTTGGCCAGGTCAAGATGCGATACCCCCATGTCAACCACTACTCGGACGCTGTTGCTCTCATCTGGGGCCGCTTTGGAAAGGAACTGACTGGTGTCATGTTTGCCCTCTTTCTGATTCTGCTTGTTGGCTCTCACGCACTTACCGGAACCATTGCCTTTATCAAAATTATCGGCGACTACGCTACCTGCGCCCTCGTCTGGAGCGTCGTTTCCCTCATCATCCTCCTGGTCCTTGCGCTGCCTCCTACCTTCCACGACTTTGCATTCTTGGGCTACATTGATTTTGTCAGCATCATTGCCGCCATTCTCATCACCATTATTGCAACTGGTGTCCAGGCTCACAACGCGCCCGGTGGCCTTGCCGCTGTCGACTGGTCTGCATGGCCACAGCCAGGAACTACATTCTACCAGGCCTTCCTTGCTACCACCAACATCATCTTCGCATACTCGTTTGCCGTCTGCCAGTTCTCCTTCATGTCGGAGATGCACACCCCCAAGGACTACGTCAAGTCCATCTGGGCCCTCGGTCTGATTGAAATCTTCATCTACACCCTCACTGGTGCCCTCTGCTACGCCTTCATTGGCCAGAGCGTCAAGTCGCCCGCCCTCCTCTCTGCCGGTTCTATGGTCTCGCGCGTTGCCTTTGGTATTGCTCTCCCCGTCATCTTCATCTCTGGTTCTATCAACGGCACCGTCGTCTGCCGCTACATGATGGACCGATTCTTCCCCAACTCTCCCATCCGCTTTGTCAAGGATGTCCGTGGCTGGACCGTCTGGGTTGGCCTCATTTCTCTCGTCACCGTGATTGGATGGATCATCGCAGAGGCCATTCCTTTCTTCAACGCCCTGCTGGGTCTCATCTCCTCGCTCTTCATTTCTGGTTTTACCTTTTACTGGCCCGCCCTCTTCTGGTTCCAGCTTGTCAAGGAGGGCAAGTGGAACGCTTCCGCCAAGAACATTTCCCTCAGCATCTTGAACGCAATTGTTCTCATCATTGGAATGGTCGTCTTGGGCGCTGGAACCTATGCTTCTGTCGAGGACATTATCACCCAGTACAACTCCGGTGATGTCAGGAGCCCATTCACCTGCAAGGCATCAGGCTACACATAAACGCACCAAGAACAATCATGTATATATATACCAAAAGCCCTTTTGGGCAGTTTATCTGTTATGACTTATGAGTCTTTAGCATAGCGACATTGTTTTATTGTCAATCAATCATACATTCAAATTTACAACATCATTTTTGTGATTGGGTTTCCAGTGAAAACATGTGCTTGACGGGACTAGACATCCAGATTGGGAGAGTGGGGTCTTCCAACCAATGAATTATCGGTTTCGCTTGCTGTCCTTTGGTTCAGCCCACGCTAGTCTAAACTTAGATAGCGTGGCCTTTTCTGCTCAGTACCGCGAACTTTGGTTGAATCACAATGTGAACATGGATATTTTCAAGCGGCATTAAAAGGAATCGTGATTTCCATCTCCAAAATCAATCCCTTCTACACCCTAGCGCGACGAAAACCTATCATCGATTGGACATCACAAGTACCTTGAAGATGGATCAACCAACTATTCCAACTACCGGCGCTATGCCTGAAGGGACTAGTGGCGAAACCAAGGCCAAGGCGTCTTGCAAGCCACAACTACTTTCGGACCGCGTCATCACCATCCTCGACGATTTTATCAAGGAACAACGCAAGCGCGACTTTTCTTTCCTTGCAAAATACAGTCACTGCCACGAGAATGCAAACAGCCTTCTCGAAGTCGAACAGGCCAGTCAATCCGATATTGCAGCTATCAAGAAAAAAGATGATGACTTTGAAAATACCGGCTGGTACACCTTCACTGAGCCGATTCACAATTTGCGTCGCACGGTCGCCATCAGCATTCTGGACCAAGATGATATCAAGATCGAGACCATGACAATTGGGACGGGGGCAAGCAACATGCGTGATGCAGCATCGTGGATTTGCGACACCTACTGCACCAATTTCCAAAAGACATGGCCCAAGAAGTTTTCCGTCGTACAATATGAAGAGCAAAGAAAGTGGTGGGCAATAACGGGTAAATTCTTCAAGCTCCTTCAACTCCCCCTCGAGTTGCGCGAGGAAATCTACCGCCACGTCATGGAACCCGTCGTTGTGCCTGACGTCGTGACCGAGGGCACAAGACGCTTCATCTTTGGCGTCGGACACTCCTTGGGGCCCGCCAGCGTTGCCGAACGCAACCGTGACCCAGAAGTGCCCCGCCCCAACCTGAACATCATCTACGTCAACAAGCAGGTGGGCAGGGAATCCAGCGCCGTGGCATGTCGTGAGTCCATCAAGCGGTTTAGTGCGCTACGCTCATATCTCGGCAGGGGCCCCAGACTCTTCATGCTCAGGATCTGGCAGCACGCCCTGAGCATGCCACGGGAGCTTGCTCTCCAAACAGGTTTCCTGCGCCACATCCAGCTCGAAATGGATGCCATGGAGTATTTTGCCTGCATTGGGATCTATCCCAACAACAGATATCCGCTTCGTACTCAGGCTCCGCATACCATGAAGCTCACTGAGCTGGCACTGTTGCACGGGCTGCAGACGCTCGATCTGCGGTTTATCAGTCCGAAGCATCGGCTCGCGCGGTGTCCCTGGGCAATGGCGAGTTCCCAGCGCAGGCCGCATTCTTGCCAGAAAAATTGGATTGAGTTTTGGATTGTCATGGCGTGGGATACGCTGCGTAATCTTCGTACGACCAAGGCCGTTCGGATTAGTCTGAGTGGCTGCGTCAAGACGTCCACGGTGGACTTTTGGGGGCCCAGGCTTAATGCTGTGGGGGATGTGGATACGGAAATGGTGGAGAGCATGAAGCAGAGAATCAAGGAGGAGATTCTCCTTCGGAGTCACAAACGTGAAGTGCTATTTCCGTGTCACTGCACGTATCCGTGCGCGGGTACGAGTGCGGATTTGCCGGTCAATTTCAAGGATGACGAGGACCCGCAGTTGGAGTCTGTCGAGGGGTGGCAGGGTATACTTGATAAGGCTTATTGGGATTTTGACGATTGAGCGATTTTCAGATGCAGAGCCTGATGGTTTTGTTTTGATTCAACACATGTACACATCATCCACTAGCATACGCATCAATTCCATTTCACATTTCCCTTCAATCGGTTTTCAACTTCATCCTTTTTTGTTAAACAAAAAAAAACCCTCACCTCACCGACATACAAACAACACCCACGCCACTCTCTCCTCCCCTTACCACCACCAAAAAAAGATAAACGTCCCGCAAATCCGAAAATCCTTCCAGAATTCCCCCGCGCCCTTCCACGCACACTAAATTGCATACCCTGGCCCCCCGCCAAAAGCCCCAAAAAAAGTCACAATCCCCGCAAAACCTTCCCCCCAAACCCGCCTTTCTCACAAAACGCCACAAAAAAACTCTCTCACCCGACAAAGCCCCGACCCCTACCCCTAGTTACTCCCCCCTCCCAGCTTTAAGCCTCTAACTTACCCCACAAAATTTCCCTGCTTTACACCGCCGCTCTTACCGAATACGAGGGCGCCTAGTACGTAACAACACGCACCTATTCCGCGTGCGCGACGGGAGTTTTCGGGTGAGAATGCGTGTGTGGAGTGATGAAAGTTTTTTTTCTTCTTCTTTCTTTCGGACCCCGTGGGGAAGACGGGGGGTGGATGGGGCGGTATCGGAGAACGGGGGGGNGGGGGGGGAAGTGGTGTATATAAAGGCTTTCCTCTTTTCTTTTAGATATAAATTTCACATTGAACTTCCACGGGAGAAGTTGGAGAAGGACTTTTGTTCCCTTCCTATGGACTGACTGACTGCTACAGTACTAGGACATAAGTCTGGCCTCGCTAAAGAAAATCCCTCGCCAAAATTTGCCGTTTCTCACCAAAAAACACGCTCTCTTCTTTTCTAATTTTCTTAATCTCTACTAAGTATTATAGTATAAGACTTAGATATAATATAAATAAGTACTTATTGTATATCTTTTAAAAATTTTAATAAATATTATTATATAATACAATAGTAGTAGCACTACAAAGTAGAAGAATAGTAAAAAAAAGAGAAAATAGTAAAGATACTACGTTTTTGCAAACAAATGAAGCGAAAATAAAGATTTCTTAACTTTAAAACTTTACCACCCTTCTAATTTTAAATAATATCTTCTTAAAAAATAGATATACTACTTAGCTAGATAGGCTCAATAATAGTTCTTATTTAATGCATAGCTATTAAAGCGTATGGTTAATAAGATACGGAGCTGCGAAAATGGCAGATTTTGGTATAAAATGGCTTACGAGGCCGAACTTTAGTCTAGTGACTGTAGCTATGCTCTGAATGGTTGCTTATATGGGCGGTGCAGATAGTCATGTTTGAGACATGGGTTGGGCTGAAGAGATTGCGTGTCAGGGTTACGCGCCGACTCAAGGGAGATGCTCTGGACGTGTTTTTGTACATGGGGAGGTGTGGTGATTGGTCATGTGGATATTGTGGGGAGCTAGACGAATAGGTGTAGTAGTATCTCTATGTCGATGTTTCGGAAGAGAGTGGTAGATTATTCCCACATGTCTCTTAATAGAGGTTAGATATCTCACGTCCTACATGGAATTGTTTGTATAAAGAACGACTGAACAAAGCCACTGGGAGACTGGGTGTACGCGGTTAATAAAGTGACTTGTAGCGGGATACCATGGACACAATATTCAAGAAATAGCATTGAGGAGGGCGATCGTTACAAGACTGTTTAATATCAAGAAGGCATTGTCTTTCTAATAGCACGTCAATATTCTGCGAGACATTTTATTGAAAGAAAATACATCATTTTGAACATTTGGCCTTCTCGTCTCTTCGAAATATGGATTGGAGTACCAGTCTAGAACAGTGTACCCAGCGTCTCCGATATGTACAAGAGAATGTAGTTTTAGTGTTGGGAGAGACAACGAGAAGACGAGAGGGTAGCATGCAGAGCATTCTCAGCGAAAGTTTCATACAGAAATGTAAAGGTTAGAATATGGCAGTCAAGTTATTGTTAACACAGTTCTTACGGAGTGGATGATGAAAGATGAAAAATTTCCCTGCAAAAAAAAAAAGAAAAATCGTGTCAATCAAAGTCTAGTATCGTCTACTGAGGTTCAATCCACTGTTGCTTTTCCGGTCTTACAGGTATGGCGTATCTCGTGCCTTCATCTCAGTCTCTCTCTCGTGGCAGCTGGTATTATGAATTACTAGTTTCCCGTCTAGGATTTGAATAGTTTAATCCTGCTCCGATCCCCTGGTATATTGATATTCTGTTTTGGATCGGTTGCCCATACGACCTGGAGCCAAAGCACACTTTTTGGATTGCGGACAGCTGAGCGGTAATTCTCTGCTTACTCGAATCTTTTATACAGCATGCTATCCAGCTACAATGCTCGTCTGGACGGAGCTGCTCTCAACGCCGCTCAATCAGATACCCCTTTCTAGCATTACTATTAGCAGATTTCTATCCAGGCTAGTCATCATCGACGCTCCTAATGTGTGCGGAGCAGCGTTGAAGTCCCTGGGTCCTAGATGAGTTTCGTACGGTCGGCGGAGTCGCTCTTCGAAGGCGAAATACGGGCACCAAAAGATGAAACTTTCTGCTTAGTGGCAGGTCAAGTTTCAGTAGTGTACCAAGTAACTGAACGTAGGAATGGTGCTTGTGGTTTGAGGTCTAGTAGTTATGAGCAGGTGTTTACATGATCTTAGATGATACATGGACGTGTATATTCTAGTAGTTCCCTATGTTTAAATAGAAAAATCTCCGCTTTGAAGGGAACTTTCGAATGATGCTTTTCTATGAAACTCACAAGTACATCTTTGAATTTCGTCACCAAGGAATGATATCGTAGCTAGCCTGCACTAGTTGAAGAGGAGGGAAAATCGTGTTTCTGTTCGACCGCATCACGATGGGCATGAATGTATGCTGAAAGAGTCACAAGTGACGAAATTCACTATCACCATCGTTTTACATGAGCAAAACCGGCATCTCAGAATATCAGTCGATCGACGTATCGATTCTGGCGGCATTTGCACCGAAACGGTAGACCAATCGGTGCGCTGTCGATGTACCAGCCACGCCCCCGTATCTTACAACTGTCCGACGTATCTTACTTGAATAACGTACTGACACTTGTCCGGGACACGAGACGATGTCTGGACGGGCAACATTGGATACACGTGCGTCGAATCTCAGTACAGCACAGTAATGTGAAGCCCATGAATACCCTCGACTTTACTGAACCAAGGTGAAACCGCTGTGCCGGTGAATGAATACGAACCGACCATGCGAACAAAACTCTTGCACATTTCACCTAGAGGACTAACGATCTCGCCTTGTCAACCCAGTAGCTAGCAAGCTTTTGAAACACTACACCTATAGGGCCTAGATTTTATTAGTTCTGTGAGTCAACTAACGATTTTATTTTTTCAACTTTATTAGCCGGTCGGCTTCCGAATTGTGAGGCTGCCATGCCATGGGGCCGGAGTACATCGGGTCTCATGGTTGACTCTGCAACACGGGGCCAGGACGCTGATTACCCCGTGGTTCTCATAGGATATGAATTGTTGCGACGAGGTTGGTGAGAATCGAGATAGTTCGAGATGGTGGATGGGTGTTGCGAGGAGAGCAACTGCAGTCGAATAAAAGACTAGTAAGATGTCCCCGCTAATACCTTTAAACTGACCTGCTTTGATAGCTCAGCCCCAAGATCGGGGTACGCAATCGAGCTCTACTGTGTACTGCGCATCAAAGTCGCGCTAAATCGCCAAATATAGGTAGTTCTGACGTGCTATGAGCACAAGCCATGGCTTTGGAATGGACACGACTGCAAATCCATAAGCATCAAGTCAATGCGTTCTTACCACGAGCGATACAAGGTTTGGCCGCGTTTACACCATGAGCAAGACTACTCTAACACTGCCTCGTCAAATCTCGCTAATCTTTCTACTTACCCAAGGCGAGCAGCGTACACTTTAAATGGCGTAAGCGGCTAGCCGGCTAAACACTCGTCCTCTGTTGCGCCTACTCCAACAGCAGCGCGAGTGGATACCGACCAGGGCAATGTAACAGGGATGTGCCCGTATTATGACGGAAATTCGCCGTTTACATATCCAACGTCAATCTGCTAACCATGGATGCCATGGTCTGAGGTGCATGACAGCGTTGACAAGGTACGTTGGAGACAACCAAGCTCGACGGCTTTTGCTTGTTACGAACCAGGACGTGCCAGCTGTGATGCCGCGCTGGCGAGACGTGTCATAGTATGCACCTGACGTGACTGCAGCGCGCGCCGGGACAAAAAGATGGCAGCATGAAAAAAAACTCTGAATGAACCGCCTCCCCGCGTGGAGACGAGCGGCGGGGGAGGCGGGACTAGGATTCTGGTAGGGGCAAGGCTTGTGGTAAGCGAACGAGTGTAAAGAGCAGCGTACAACGGACAGGAGTCAGTGGCGTGGTGAAGAGGCGGTCAAGTGTAGTCGTTTATACTCGGTGGGCCATGTTGAGGTGCTACTTGGATTCTTCCGTGCCGAGTGCCCCCGCACGAGCGGGACCAGCTAGCAGGCTCGGGGCTAGCGGGCGGGCGCAGGAATTGCGCATGCATGCACATGCGTGGAGCCGAGGGGATTGGCGGTGGTTGGTGGTGTAAGTACCTACAGCAGGACGTGTAGGCAGTCGTGCAGGATGCGAACAGTGGTTTGGCGGCGGGCGTGGGCGATTGGCGGAGGGTCGGGGTGAGGCACGTGGTGTCGCGTGTATTTGGATGCAGGCCGCGCGTGGCAAGCGCGCCATGCAGAGGCGGCGGAGGCACAGGGCGCAACAGCAGCAGCAGCAGCAGCGGCAGGCGGTTCCTGGCGGGCGGGCGTGGTGACATCAGCGAGCGTGCGGCGAGTAAGAGGGTGCATGAAATCTCGGGATGCACAGTACTCTAGACACATGGACGGCGGTCGGTGTAGCAGCTGGGCGGCCGCTGGGTGATTGGGGCGGCAGGCCAGAAGGCAGTGGTGGGGACGCTTGACCCTGGCCTGACCGCTCCGCGATAAGGCGCTAACGCAGGTGGGCCAGCCCTCGGCCTCCTGATGCTCCTTTCGACATAGCACCACCATGGCCGCCTGCTCTTCTTTTGCACGTCGCTCCTTTTGCTCAGTGTGCCTCGAAGCAGACTCCATTGACGACGTGTGTTTCGTGTCTTGCGCGCCCCAGCAGCCCCGTCCAGCTGCCGTCACGACACCATCCCGGCTGCAACCCTCTATTCCACACGCTTGAAACACGCTCTACACCAGCGCCGTTTGTTCTTCGCGCCCCGCTGGCCGAGCTGACCACCTTGCCATTTGGCCCTTGACCGAGGGGCTGCACCGCTGTGCTGCGTCATTGCAGACCGACCGACCTCCATTCACCCAACCTCGCACCGCCCTGCCTCGCTCCATGCTGCCCGTCTGACCGCACCATGACCGACGTAGCCACCCCCATGCCGCCCGCGCCAGAGCCCACGGCACCAGAGCCCGTCGACCAAAGCGTGCAGCGCTCGCCCAGGACCCACGTCGACAGCGCACCACTGCCAACAGACTCGATGGTCACCGTCCCGCTCTCAGAGACGGACGGCAGAACACCAGAAGACGACCACCCTGCCTGCACCTCGCCCACCTCGCCCGTCCAGCCACACATTGTCGTCGGCGACCGCAGGACGTCGTCGTCGCGGGCAGACTCCATCGAGATCCGCCAGGCGTTTGGACGTCGCCAGAGCCAGACGAGCGCCGATGCAACCACCACCCCAACAAGCCCGACCATCTCTGTCCGGGACACGGACGCGCCCGAGTCGCCCAAGATAGATACTAGGGAGAGGCGAACAAGCAATGGTTCAGGCAAGAGCGAGGAAGTTGATTGGGCCGAGCTCGAGAAAAAGGAGGAACAGGAGCCAGAGGGCGAGGAAGAGGTGCGCGCCCACTCACGATATCTAATGCCCGTCGTCTGCTGACTCTCTTCTTCTTCTTCTTCTAGGCCATGGCCTTGCTGCTCGCTCGACTCGAGCAGGAAAACGACGCCATCATGTCAGACTCCAAAGCAAACATGAAGGTTTCTCGCGCCCGCAGCCAGTCGCGGCCCCCCTCCATCAACCAACTCAAGCGCCTCGTCGCCCATGACACTGCACAGGTCCGCTTCTCCCAGCTGCCTTCGCCGCCACCCATGACCGAGTTGGAGTTCTGGGCCGCCCTCGTTCGTGATTATCCACAGACGGTCCAGCGTCTGCCCACCCTCTGCTTGAACAAGATTCGAGGAGGTATCCCTGCCCCGCTGCGTGGCGTTGTATGGCAGAGTGCAGCTGGCTCACGCGAGAAGCTGATTGAGGATCAGTATGAGACGCTGTGCGGCGAGTCCAGCCCGTACGAGAACATCATCAACAAGGATCTTGGAAGGAGCTTTCCTGGCGTCGACATGTTCAAGGACGCCGACGGTGAGGGCCAGAAGATGCTTGGCCGTGTGCTCAAGTGCTTTAGTTTGTACGACCACAAGATTGGTTACTGCCAGGGTCTCGGTTTCCTCGTTGGCCCACTGCTGATGCAGATGGGTGACAAGGAGGCTTTCTGCGTACTCGTCAGGTATGTCATTGTGGCTCCGTGACCCTGCACCGCCGCTAACCCTTCGTAGGCTCATGGAAGATTACGATCTTCGTTCTTGTTTCCTCCCTGACCTCTCTGGTCTGCATCTTCGCATCTTCCAGTTCCAGCAACTGCTCCACCATCACATGCCCGCGCTGGCGCAGCACCTCGATGACCAGGGCGTCGGCTCTGCATATCTCTCACAATGGTTCCTTTCATTTTTCGCTGTCACATGTCCGCTGCCCATGCTCTTCCGCATCTACGATGTGCTGTTCGCCGAGGGCGCTTCCGAGACAATCATGCGTGTAGCACTTGCTCTGATGAAGCGCAATGAGCAAAAGCTCTTGTCACTAAGTGAATTCGAAGATGTCATGCAGTTGCTGCTTGGCCGCCAACTCTGGGATCCTTATGGCCGGAACGCGGGGTCTGCCGATGAGTTGGTTGCCGATTTTGTCGGTTTCACAAATGATGTGACGCGGGAAAGGTTGCAGGGGTTGGAGCAGCAGTACAAGGAAGCACAGGATAGGGAGACGTCCAAGCAGCAGGTCCAGAAGTCGGCCTCGTCGTTCCTCGGCCGCTTGTGGGGCCCATCCAACTCTTCGACCAAGTCTGTTTCACTCAGCCCGGGACTCTCGGCGCCTTCACGGCCTGTGAGCTTCCTTAGGCGGTCAGCCTCCAAGCAGAGCTTGGCTTCAACACTCAACTCAATGGCCGATTCAGACGCCTCAGCAAACACGCAAAGCACAGCCTTGACGGACATTTCGCGTGCGTCCAATGGAGACGCCCTGTCGATGAAGTCTGGCCATGGCTCCATGGCAATGGGTGCCTCGTCCAGGGACAGGGACCTGCACTACCAGATTGAGCAGCTGCTCATGTCTGTGAGCCAACTGCAAAGACAGAATAGCGAGCTTGAAGCCGCACTACAGAAGCAGCGCGAGGATCGCAAGGAGGACCATCGCATCGTGCGGACAGTAGTAGACAAGGTCCGGAAGAAGACGTCCACACTCGCCGTACCCTCAACAAGAGCGTCGCGAAGGCGGACAACGATTACTGCAGCGTCGGTCGCTGCCGCACTCGAGGAGGGTGCAGCCTCGAATGAACTGAGCGCAGAGGCCTCGGAAATAGTGTCGACGCTCGAATCGCGATTCCCTGAATCCCAAGGCCACCACCGCGCCTCGTCCATCTTCGAAACCAAGGAGATTCTCAAAGAGAACCTAACTCGCACAAAAGAGCAGCTTGCCAACGAAACACTGCGCGCCAACAGCTTCGCCCGTGACCTGAACGACCGCGACGCCGAACTTCAAATCGCACGGGACGCCCTCCGAGACACACGGCAGCGTCTGCAGGACAGCTACAACCAGAACCAACGTCAAGAAAAAACAATCCAAGAACTACGACAGCACGCGCGCAAGCAATCTGCCGTCACCTCTTCTTGGGGCGGAACAGACACCACCCCCGATACCCCGCCCTCACTCTCCCGCTCCACAACCTCCGATAGCGTCTCCGGCGGTCTGCGCGAGCTCCGTCTCGGCCGTACCCCATCTCAAAAATCCGAACGCCAATTCTCATCATCCCACGCTACCCCCATGTTCACCAAGCGCTCCTCGTCGCTGGCCACGCAATCCTTCCTCGCAGGCGCCGACGGCACCGTCCCAGACGCAAACAACGAGGCTCTCCTGCTTGAACTCGTCAACGCGAAGACAGCGGAGGCGGTGGCCAAGCAGGAACTCGAGGAGTTCAAGGTGCGGTTTGAGAATCTGAAGAGGATGGTGAGCACAGGTGGAAGCGGGAGCGCAAGTAGTACGCCAACGAGTACACCGGTTGTAACGCCGAGTCCTGTGCCCAAGGAGCCGGTTGCCGGGAATGCAGGAGGAGGTGGAGGCTGGGGATGGGCCGGGTGGAAGAGGACGGTTAGTAGTGCCACTATTACGGGGTCCTAAGTCCTCTCTCTCTCTCTCTCTTTTTAGGTCGAGTTGACAACGGGTTGGCGGTGTACATATTACATATACATGCTCCTTTTTGTTCTTTGAAATGGGCAAAAAGGGAGAAGGGAGAGGATACGAATGTAACTAGTCATCTTCGCCATCGACTCTCTTGTTTCTCGTTTTTTTTTCCTTGCGAAGATACAAGGGAGACTTGTCACAGTGCGCTTGTTTCTTTTTTGGGGGGACTCATGAGTATGGATAGATGGATGGATGGGAGAGATATACACTATGTAGCTTATTTCGCTTTTGTTCTTTCTCTCCAAAGGGGGGGAAATGAACTATGCTATCATTTATAATGCGATGCTTGATTTTTTTTTCTCCCTCTCTTCCACATAAAAATACATACATGGCTTCCGCAGTACAAAAGGTCGTTACATCTTCTTCTCCAACTCCTTGACCCGCTTCAATCCCGCCCGCGCATTTGCCACACCCTCTGTAAACCCCATTTTCTTCGCCAGAGCAGCCGCTTCTTCGTATTGTCTGCGTGCTTCGGCGGTCTTGCCTTCCATTTCGAAGAATTCGCCGAGATTGTGGGTTGCGACTGCGCAGCCCATGTCGCATTCTTCTGTGCGATCGGGCGATTTTATTTGGTTGGCTTGCTGTAGAGCACGTGTGGCCCATTGGCGGGCTTGCTCGATGAGAAGGGTGCGCGGGGCGGTGTTGGAGACGGGGAAGTCGGAGGGGAGGGGGGACATCGTGATTGCGTCGGTGGAAGAGGGCGGGGTTTGCTGGACAAGGCAGGTCGAAATGTTGTTCACTGTGTTGGGTTAGTTTGTTTGTATAATGATGGAATGAGTGAGAACGTACTCAGGACTACGCTGTGGCACGAATTTGGCGGACATAGCTGTAGTGCCTTGACGAACAGTGGCGTGGCTAGGTAGTGCGAGTCAAACTGCTCGTAGTGTGTGCCGAGAGCTGCATCGCATTAATATGTTGTCCCGTCAAATAGATCGCAAAGCATACCTTCCAACGTGCCACCCATTTCTTCATTCGTAAGCCATGGTCCCTCTCCATTCTTGACGCCCTCCTTCTCCCGCCGCTGCTGCTCCTTGAGCGCGCTCTCGACAGCCTCGACAAGTCTCTTTTCGCCATTCTCAGGCTCATTAACGTATCGAATGTCATAGAGCTGGCCCAGCTTCAGATTGATCTGCACCATGTTCTTCTTAACTCGACTGCGGTTCCCCGTCGTCCAGTGCTTGTCCGAAAACTCGTCGACCCACCGCTGGCAGTCGTTGCGCATAATCTCGAGCACATCAATGGCCAAGCTATAGTATCCTGCATCCTCAAACAATTGAGCAATGGTGTACTTGACGCCCATTATCT